ACGCTGCGGGCGCTATCACCCTCAAGGACGCTATTGCTGCTGCCTTCCACCGAGGACAGGCTGTCCTGAGACTGAAGGCCAAGCACGCAGACCTGCGCGGTGCCATGTTGGCTGCTGGTTGCAGCGCCCAGACAGCCCGTGAGATGATCCAGGAGATTCAGACCGGACACTGCGGTATCGCATGCGAGAACTCGCCTTCGTCGGTCACCATTTCGGGTGACGCGCAGGCCATCGACGAGCTTGCTGCCCGCCTCGAAGAGAAGGGCACATTCAACCGCAAGCTGATGGTTGACGTTGCCTATCACTCTGTCCACATGGAGAACGTAGCTGAACACTACCTGTCGACGATCCAGGACACCAAGGCCAGCAGCACTGGCAAAGTGGCCTTCTTCTCGTCCCTTCACGGGAAGAGGCTTGTCAGTGGTGCGGATCTGGACGCGCAGTACTGGGTTCAGAACCTCACGAAGCCCGTGCTCTTCTCGACTGCTTTGCAGGCGCTCTTCCTGGAAGATCAGCCCGACATCGTGGTCGAGGTCGGCCCGCACTCTGCGCTTGAGGGACCTGTCAAGCAGATTCTCAAGTCTCTTGGCTCGGACAAGGCCAGCAAGGCTTTCTACGTCCCTTCGCTGAAGCGCAACGAGGACGCCACGTTCTCTGCGCTGACTCTGGCCGGCAAGCTTTTCGAGAAGGGCGTTACCCTGGATATGGCTGCCGTTAACTCGGAGAAGGATCCCAAGCCCAAGCTGGTTTCCGACCTCATGCCCTACCCATGGTCGGGACAGAAGTACTGGAGGGAGAGCCGGGTCAGTCGCCAGCACAGGCTCAAGCCCTTTGCGCGCCATGATCTCCTTGGCGCCCTGACCAACCTCTCGAATGATATGGAACCGACATGGAGGAACATGATCCGAACGGACGACATCCCCTGGCTGCGAGACCACAGGATGCAAGACCTGACGGCATTCCCGTTCTCTGGCTTCATCAGCATGGCGGTTGAAGCAGCTGCTCAGCTGGCCTCCATCCGTGGTGTCGAATTTGACGAGTTCGGCCTCAGGGAGATGCAGGTTATGCGACCTTTCCTCTTGACTGACGGCGAGGAGTACGAGGTCATCCTGAGCATCAAGCGGTTCAGCGAAGGCACCCGCTCCTACTCGGACAAGTGGGACGAGTTTCGCATCCACTCCTACCATGAATCCAGGGGCTGGGTTGAGCACTCTCGCGGTTTGATCTCGGTCACCAAGCGAGAGCAGTCGAACCCCATCAGCGCCTCGCTGCGCGACGAGGTCACCGACACGGTGGAGAAGGCCAGGCAGGTTTGCAAGAGCAAGATCCCCACCCAGCTCTTCTACGACGAGCTTCGCAAGCTTGGAGCCGGCTACGGTCCCGTCCTCCAAAACATCCTGAGCCTTCAGGCTTGTGACGATTTCAGGTACGGACTCGGAGAGGTGGTGGTGCCTGACACTGGCGCTTCGATGCCCGAGAAGTACGAGGCCCCATCCATCTTCAACGCGGCGTTCATCGATCTCCTGTTCCAGCACATCTTTGTTATCCTGGGAGCCGGTCGTGGCGAGATGCCCTGCCTGTACATGCCCTCGGCTATCAAGGAGATGCGGCTCAACAAGCTGATGAACTCCACGGCGGGCACCCCCTACCAAGTCGTCGTGAACGGACACAGCGACTTGCGGAACCCGAAGGCCATGGAGGGTTGCATCCATGCCTTGGAGTCGAGCGACACCTCGATCCCCGCCATCGTGGTCAAGGGCTTCGAGGTCAACCCCATCAAGGACGACAGCAGCAGCGACCTTGAGACCAAGCCGCTCTGCTACAAGGTCGAGTGGAAGTCCTTGGCCGAGGAGGCCGCCAGCCAAGAGGCGGCTGCCGTCGCGAGCGGCAGCACGCAGCAGCCGGCCAAGAAGCTCACGCTCAACGCGCCCGTCGTTCTCATCACGCAGCGCCCCGAGAGCGACCCTCTCATCAGCGCCGTGGCCGCTTCGGTCGAGGCCCGAACCGGCCGTGCCCCCGAAGTCAGCCCTCTCGCCAACCTCAGCGCAGCTGGCAAGGTCTGCCTCAACCTTCAGGACCTCGACAGCTCCGTGCTGTCCGACGCTACACAGGAGACGTTCAAGCAGGTGCAGAGCATGGCGCTCGAGAGCGAGAGCTTCCTGTGGGTCGTTTCGGGCGCGCTCAAGAACGCGCAGAGCCCTCATCGCAGCATGGCCCAGGGCTTCGTGCGAACGATCCGGTCGGAGATCGGCAAATCGGCATCGCTTCTGGACCTGGATCCGGAGTCTCGCCTCGACGTGGCGTCGCAAGCTGAACTCATTGTGCAGGCTTTCGAGAAGCTCGTTGGCGGGGAGAACTCGGCCACGCCCGAGATGGAATTCGCCGAGGTCGATGGCGAGCTCGCCGTGCCGCGCATTGTCGAGGACGCAAGCATGAACCTCTTCGTCCAGCGCGAGACCAACGTGTCGGCCCCCTACCTCCAAAGCTTTGCCCAGCCCGAGAGGCGTCTGAAGCTCGACATTGGCCGTGCTGGAGCATTGGACACGCTGTACTTCAAGGACGACGAGGACGAGCCTCTCGCCGCCGACGACGTCGAGATTGCCGTCGAGGCCACGGGCATGAACTTCAAGGATGTCGTCATCTCCATGGGCCAGCTTGCCAGCCCCTACATCGGCGTGGAGTGCAGTGGCAGGATCGCGCGCGTCGGATCCAACGTCACGGCCCTCAAGGTCGGCGACAGGGTCTGCGCCATGCCAAGGGGTGCCTACCGCACCTTTGCGCGCTGCCACTTCACCAGCGCGGCCAAGATGCCGGACAACATGACCATGGAGGTCGGTGCCTCGATTCCCGTCGCCTACTGCACCGCGTGGTACGGTCTCATGGATATCGCGCGCCTGGCTGAGGGCGAGCGTATCCTCATCCACGCCGCCGCGGGCGGTGTCGGCCAGGCCGCCATCCAGATCGCCAAGATGGTTGGTGCCGAGATCTTCGCTACCGTGGGCAGCGTCGACAAGAAGCAGCTCATCATGGACAAGTACGGGATTCCCGAGGACCGCATCTACTACAGCCGCAGTGCTGGCTTCCGCCCCGCCTGATCCGCAGGGACACGCAGGGGGAGGGTGTCGATGTTGTCATCAACTCCCTGGCCGGCGAGCTCCTGCGCGAGAGGGGGGATTGCATCCCCCCACTTTGGCCGG